TAGAGGCTGCAGTGAGCTATGATGACACCACTGCACTCTAGCCTGGGCAACAGAGCAAGACCCTGCCTCAAAAACAAAAAACAAAAAACAAAAACACTAAATGATAAAAACATATGCCATTCTAATATTTCAGTTCTTTCCAGTTTTTAAATGTATCCACTTAAGCTTCTCTATTATAACTTTAACACCCAGTTATTTCCATCAGGGAAAAAAGTAATGAAGTATTCAAATCCTAATGCAGTTATACTGAATCTAGTTTCAATAATCTGAAATCTAAGAATTACTTCTCATATTTTATAAGCAGAAGCCAAGCTTACCCTATACACTCAGTCCAAGTCCTCCAGTCAAAATATTTTGCTAGCTAAAGAATTAAAAACCTACAATTGGCTACATATTTTAACCTCCTTCAATACATTTTGCCACAAATGCGGTAAGGAGAAACATGACCTGGCTTACCATTTATTTCTAGTTATGCATTCCATAGAGGTGGTACTAACAGATAATTAACAGTAATTAAACAAGAACAAGGAAAGGAGTCCCTAAAAGACATTTCAAACCAGCAAGAGTAGACTCAATAAAAGCCCACAGCACTTAAACCCACTAAGAGTTACCGATAAGATATTGTCACACTTTTCTCACTTATGTTTGAAAACTCAGGGTGTTTCTTAAATCTCAATATGAAAAAGATAAGCAAAATCAAGCAAACTCACAAATGAAGTGAAATAGCTATATACAGCAAAAGCATCCCATCACCCTGTTTCTAACAATAAATTGTATCTGACAGCAAGACTTTAAACCAAGCTTCCCAACGCAGAAGAATCTTTTAAAAATATATTATAGCCATGACCATAAGCTAAGTAGCTACAAATAATTTTTCTTGAAAATACAAGATTATAATCTTTGCATTAATATTCTGTGCCTAATAAAAAATGTTTTAACTAGTGATATCTAACCAAAGTTTTCATTTTACTTCAAACTAAGATACCTGCCTCATCGGGGAACTTTCCAGAAAATGGAGACACCACCTGGTCTTTTTTGTCATTTATTTTGTAAGAAAAATTGGCAAGTAAATTGGTAAAAGACTACACAAAAGCCCCTCATCACAAATAAAAAAATCTACTTTGCATTAAACAATTTAATACTTGGATTTTTTTCCTATATACTTAAATGACTGCCATTTCTATGAGGAAAATACTAAGTACTTAAAAGGGGAGTCATAGTTTGAGGTTTGGCCCCACCATTTAGTAAACAAAGACCTTAAAAATGTGAGCCTATAAAGGATTACACTTGGGTATCTAAAGGGAAAAAAAAATTCTACTAAAGGGCAGCAAAATTCAGAGACAATGCAAAGAAATTAAATCAAAAGGTTCTATCTAATTACAATTTCAAATGAGTTACTATATATGCCAGGTCCTATTCTAAAAGCTTTACTTCTATTATCTCATTTAACTCTCACAACAATTTTCACTTTACAGAGGAGTAAATTAAGCAGAATTTATATAACTTGTCCAAGTCAGGGCAGAACAGGGACTCAAACACAGTCTGACTTCTATACTTTTTTCCTATCAACTATTTCCATTCCTATTCCCACTGACAGTATTAAACATTTAGGATAAAGCAAATAAAGACAAAACTACTTAGTGACTTCTGGAATGAGTTAAATATTCAGTCTCTAAATATTCCTCCTTTCCAAAACTGAGAACACTAGCCATCAGATACTAGCTAGGACACACTTATTTGGGACAAAGTATCATACAGAAGCTACCAAACAGATAAAACCATACTACCGCGTAAGCTGGGTTTCAGAAAACCATGGTCTATGGGCCAAATTCAGCCCTTAGCCTGTTTTTATACATGCCAAGAATGGTTTTTACATTTGTTAAAGGGTTGTAAAAGCAAAACAAAGAAAAATTTGACACAGCAGGGCCTAAAAATTTACTATATGGCCCTTTAGAGAATAAATTACTGACCCCTGATCTAAGCTATTTGTATAGGGGTCTCCTCCCCACTTTTTTAAATAGCAAAATGCAGAAACTGACTTGTAAGATATAAACTATATCTAGGATAATTAAAGGCAGATTCCCTTAGCTCCAAACCGGAAGACAAATGTCTGAAGCACACCCCTGCCTCCCCCAAAAAAAGCAGGGGGGTGGCAAAAGATAAGTGGTTCCATCTCACCAGGAGGTGGCAGTAGGTTCTCCCAGAGGCAAGGCTCTGGTTTGTCCATGGGCTCAAGTTTTTTGTGGTGGCTATTAAGAAAAGCAAGCAGCTTAACCTCTCCACAGAGCTGATTTCCCTGACCTGATAAACTGCACAAAAATGAAATGAGAAAAGAAGACAAGAACTAACCACATTCTCCTTGGTGATCTGTTCACTTCCCAACTAGAAAAATAACACCATTTCCTAAATGCATCTGAGCTAAAAGGTAAGGGGCTGGGGAGAAAGCAAGTGAAATAATCAACTTGCATTACTCATGGCTTTTCTTCATTTTTGCTTCTACAATTCTTAAGTTACTACCCTTCAGCTAGTTCAGCAAAACAATGGATTTCTGTCTTCACAAATTCAAGAAAGATGACATTTTAAAGATCAGAAGTTAAAAAGTGAAAATGCTAAACTTTAGGCAATTTCCCAGTAAAGCTAAACCAGAAATCAAAACAGGAAATTACAAGTCAACTGAATACATGCAGAAGTCACAGGTACTGGGTGACTGCACTACTAGTTGGCCTGACAGGCACTGGCAAACATCCATTAACTGTCAGTGCCAGACCACTCATTCCTATTCCAATCTTCTAGTAAACAACCAAAAGCTTCATTTCTGCCTAGAAACCCTTGGACACTTAATCAAATAACATTAGTATAAAACATGCCATGTCATGAAGCTCCTTGCTTCATGATGACTCAGCAGCTGCTGCAAAACATCCCGTTGACAGTCTAGGATATAGCAGACAGCAAGCAGGTAGCCCGTAAGTCCACCAAAGTTCTAACAAGGACTAAAGAAAGTCTTTAAGATTTAAAAAAAAAAAAAAAAGCAATAAACAGAAGAGTATTCTTTTGTATATATACCTGAATACTTTTCTGGGTAGTTTCTGCCAATATTAAATAACACCTACAAAAAAACCCCTTAAACACCTTTAATCCCAATTCAAAAGCTAAAACGCATTTTTTTTTTAATTAAATGGCTGGGGTAAGAAGCCCAAAAGTATTTTAGATAGGAGGCAACGATAAATTATCAAGATCTAAAACAAAACTATACAGCCTAAAGTCATATCAGCTCTAAGACAACTTGGATCACAGGTGTTATGCTGTTAAGGCATCATCTCCCCAAAATTAGATTTCTATCTAAGCACATTTAAAAATAAGCTGTGAATATAACTTTTGCCACTGGAATATATTAACTCCCTTCTAATCTCTGTCCACACCATCCGCTAATCTGTATTTAAAACATTTCATTTTTCTATATGTAATACAGGAAGATCCAAGAAAGCACTCAAAGAAATTTATTCTTCGGAGAAACAGAAAGCGTCTGTGTCTAACTTCCATTCTACAAAAAGATTATGTTAAATGGCAAGGCTTCTGACCTGGATTCTAATCTTAAATTTGTCTGCACATACCCCTGCTCCTCACAAAGAAATGTGATAACCAAGCACTTTTTGTACATAATTGGGGGAACACCAATGGAAGTAACAGTAATGCCAACCCTTCTAACCATTAGTAGAAAACTACTTAATACATAAGTAGTACGTATTTTTACCATTCAAATATTTTCCTCAAATCTTTACTTCTAAAAATCTGTTGATAATGATACAATTTAGCAATACCACCAAACAACATGCTAAAGTGTTCAATCTTTATTATCATTCAGAATAATCCAGGAAGTTTACCTTTAACAGTATGCAACAAGTTATCAGACCCTTTTGCTATACTTTTTTTTAACAAGTTTAAGACACACTTCCCACCTTAGTAACACTGAAAATTATTCTTAGTAGCTTTATTAAAATAAGGTTTTAACATTTTCCTACTCGGTCCAAACAAGCGACATTTTAAAAAAGGAATTTTCTCAGAATCAAATGTTCATTTACAATTAAGATAAACTCCTGTTTGTAATTTTAAACACCCACGAGTACATACGGTGGCTAAATTATAAGACACCAACATTCCTGGAGTGTCAAAAGTACCTAAACTTCTAGAATATGCCCCATAATATTAAAATATTTTGTGTATGAGATTAGAGCTGGAGTCCCGGTCAACTGTGGAGAACTGCCAATTCCAACCTCCAAAATAAAGGGGGGAGGGCGGGAAGAGAAGGTGGAAGAGGAAAGTCACGCAGCAGAGAAAAGACGTAAGGGTGGAGAGGGACTTTCAAAATGCCCCAGTGCCACGGTAACTATAACCGGGTTAAGAAAATCTAAGCCAATGCTTTCAGATCAGGGAGGGACATGGGCAGGGAAAACCGAGAATTAATTAATAGACTGGGACTAAGTTATTCCACTTTCGGAGTAACAGCGCCCCCCCCAACTCCCCGTGTGCCCCACAGGCAGATTCCTCCCGGCAGCCCCCCTCCACACACACTGAAATCGGGCACACCAGAAAACAAACAGTAAGCATAGGGGCCACTGGCCACATCTTTTCCTTTCTCCCTCGAGAGGACGTGAGTAATACCGTCAAATTCCCAATCCCCGCCAAAAGAAAGAAAAAAAAAAAAAACGCACGCTTCGTGGGCCTAGAATTTATCTTCCCGCCCTGCGCCCGTCCGGGAAAGCCCCTGGCCCCGAGGGTTGAGGGAGAGGCGGCCTAAACCACACGTGTGCGCCGCCAGGCTGGGCCTGTCTCAGCCCACTTCCCGTCGCCACCCCCAACGGCCTGAGCTCCCGCCGCCTCATTCGGGCCTTTCCCCCAGGCCCTCCAGTCGCCTCCACGTGGGGCGCCGGGGCCTCGCACCGCCCGTTTCCTCCTGCCGAGTTCCCAACCCGCGGGGCCACCACGGCGTCGGGGTCCCGTACCTGGTGCTGTTGTCGCCCCTGCTGGTAAGGCTTAATTGGCCCCTGGTGGCAACGCCGCGTCCGGATCTTGCCGCCACCGCCCCCTCCGATTCCTCCGGCTCCCGAGGCCATGGCGGAGCCTCCGCTGCTTCCCGCTCCGGGGCGGGTAAGGGGGCGGGTAAGGGGGCGGGAGAGGCAGAGGCGGAGGCCTTAGAGCGCCCCCGCCGCGCCCGGCCCCGGCCCAAAAGTCTGCCCGCGGTGCCCACACAGTGGGACACAGGCACACCAGGAACGGCGAGGTTGAAAGCAGGAGCCGAGAGAGGGTGCGGCGGGGAGGCGGTGGCAGAGGCCGAGGAGCTGGCTCCGGTCCGGCAGCCTCCTGCGGACCCCCGCCTCTGTGTATGTCACGGTCTCTATGGAGATCTCCCGCAGAGGACAGTGCGAACAGCTCCGGGCGCTGCTGAGGCCTAACTCGACCGCCGGCTGGTGGGGGTTCTTCCGTCGCCCTAGCCGTAGCTGCCGCAGTTGAAGCCGCTGGCGCCGCCCGCCTACCCCTCTCCTCCCCTTTGCGCACAGCGCCCGCCCCGCCGCCGTCGTCGTCGTCCCCGCAGTCGCCGCCGCCGTTGCGCCTATTGCCACGGCCAACGCCGCCGCCGCGGTCGCGAGCCAGAAACCGTCACTCGTCAGCGCCCGAGGCGTTTGCATCATCACGCTGCGCCTGGGTGATAGGCGAGGAGGAAGGAAGGGCTGGTCGAGCCCGCGCTCTCTGCCGCGCGGCACGCTAGGAAACGTAGTTCAGCACTAGAACGCGCATTCTCGGAAATGAAGACGGGTGGGGAAGGAGCTCTAACGAGCGTCGCAGAGACACAAAGCCATGGGTCCTATTGCTGCTGTTGGCTGTAAATCTAGACTCTGAGAAGCATTTAACATAAAAACAGTTACCTCTTCCCACTCCACTTCTCCCAGTCGGCTGGTTAAGTGGGCACAAAGTAAACAGATAATAAAATCAAAGACAGGAGTTAGTGATGTACAAATGAAGAAAAAAAACCAAACCCTGTGGTTGAAAAAAACAATGTCCATAGCCGTTGGAATTAAAAAATGTATACACCTTCATTAATGTTTCATTAATCACATAAGGGCTTTGTTGTCAAACATACAAGACTGGCATTCTGGCTCCACCACTCTACCTATCTGACCTTGGATGAGTCAAAACCTCTGAGTCTTGGCTTCCTCCTCTATAAAATGGGAACTTTAAAACCCACCTTACAAAGCTGTAATGAGGAGCAGATGTGATCATCTATATAGAGTACTATATATTTCCTGGTATACAAGAAATGCAAGGCCAGGCGCGGTGACTCACGCCTGTAATCCTAGCACTCAGGGAGGCTGAGGCGGGTGGATCGTTTGAGCTCAGGAGTTCGAAACCAGCCTGAGCAAGAGCGAGACCCCGTCTCTACCAAAAATAGAAAGAAATTAGCTGGACAACTAAAAATCTATGTAGAAAAAATTAGCCGGGTATGGTGGTGCGCGCCTGTAGTCCCAGCTACTCGGGAGGCTGAGGCAGAAGGGTTGCTTGAGCCCAGGAGTTTGAGGTTGCTGTGAGCTAGGCTGACGCCACGGCACTCTAGCCCCAGCAACAGAGTCAGACTCTGTCTCAAAAAAAAAAAAAAAAGAAATGCAAGAAATGGTTACAATGATAACCTTTTATGAAGTCAGCACACATTAGAGATAAGTGATATATTCCTAGTAACAAAAGTATACATATCTTTGCTTCAAATAGAAGGCATTATTTTTAGGAAAGTGAATAAGTGAGCTAGACTCAAAGACTGAATCCACAAAGTATAGATACTAGGAGTTGAGAGTTAGAAAGTTCTTGGTGATCACATGGTCCAGCCCTCCCATTCGACCGACCAGACAAAAGGTCCAGAGACATTCAGGTGTCACCATGAATGACACTGAGCTGGGCAGTCAAAGCCAGGACTATAACCCAACTATTCCATGAGTTGAGACAAGTAGCTAAATGATTAAGGAGAAAAATCTATTGTGAAAAATCACAGACTTACTGTCCCATTTGAGACAATTATCTTAAAGCTTATAAAAGCTCTAGAGTCAAATAGACAATTTAAATCTATCACTTACTAGCTGTGTAGCCTTGGGGAAGTTACTGATCCTCTTTCTAAGCTTCACTTTCCTCATCTGCAAATAGAATGGATATTTACCTCAACAGGGTGGTGGTTCTGATAAAAAGGATTAATGTATACCAAACTCATAATAATTGCTTAGAATGCATCTATATTACCCAGCTGTCAGATACAAATAATTAGCTCTAAGACTTTTATATAATACTATCTCTACCACCAAACTGCACAATGCAAGTCACTATTTAAATCATATAAATGAAATTATAAAACCAAATTTATAATATCTTTGAACCTGTACTACCTTTCAGCACCTAAAGGATCATGCAGCACCATGCATAGTTATACAAGCAAATGGCTTTCAGTGGCACCTCTGACCTTAACCACCATAACCACCAAGTTGCCAAATATGGTAAACAAAATTAATCTGTTTTCTCTTCTTCACCCTTGTTCTGGCTTCATGCCTCCTTCCACCACTAGCTTCCAACTACATGCTCCAGGGAAGCCTGCTCTTCCCCTTGAAGCACCGTATCCTTCTTAAGTAAGAATTGTTTCTCTCAGGTGCCCTCTTCCTCTTACGTGGAAAGGAAATCCTATTCTTTCACAATTCCTAGCTAGGTATTTGAGAGGCAGAGTAAAGTAATTCCTGATAAGCTAACTCCCAGGGAAGATCTGTACATGAATCTTTAATTCAGCTACATACATAGGAGATTAAACCGTACCCACATCCTATCTTTCCTCTTCACTCTGTCAGACTCAAAATTTCTGGCATAGGACAGAGGACTGGCTGGGACTCAAAGCCCATCCCTTTCTTAGAGGCTGTCATTTGGCCTGTGGAACAGCTTTTACAGCAACCTTTGAAAGGAAGAGACATGCAAAAGAATTGGGCCAAACTTAGACAAAACTTCAGAATATTTGGGAGGATTTGAGGAGATATGGGGAAATCCACATCCCTCTTAGCCTTGCTCTCAATTGTTTACATCACTTCATAATTATTTTATTTCTTTGAAGTAAAACAATATTTGAGGGAGCTATAATACATTAGTTCCATATTCACGTGGTTGAGTCGTGGAAGCCATAACAGGCTTGAGAGCAGAGGAGGAAAAAAAGACAGGAGGAGGCTGGGCACAGTGGCTCATGTCTGAAATTCCAGCACTTGGGAGGCCAAGGTGGGAGGATCGCTTGAGGCTAGGAGTTCAAGACCAGCCTGGGCAATATAGCCAGACTCCATCACACAAAAAATGGTGCAGTGGCTCATACCTGTAATTCTAGCACTTTGGGAGGCCGAGGCCAGGAGTTTAAGACCAGACTGAGCAACAGCAAGACCTCATCTCTACAAAAAAAAATATATAAAAATTAACTGGGTGTAGTGGTGCATGCCTGTACTCCCAGCTACTCGGAAGGCTGAGGCAGGAGGATCGCTTGAGCCCAGGAGTTTGAGGTTGCTGTGAGCTAGGCTAATGCCATGGCACTCTACTCAGGGCAGTAGAAAAAAAAAAAAAGAGTAAGTGAATTAACTAATATGATCAAATTTTGATTAACTACATATATCCCTTAATTCCAACATGCCATATAAGAGTGTTTCCTCTTCCTGACTACATATATCAATGTATATGGCTTTGATATACATGAGTTGATGTATATTTCATCATAGTATAAGGCATACTTTAAATTCAATCAATCTTGAATGGAAATTCAGTATTATTAGATGAAATAATGACCAAATTCAGGGAGCCCAAGCTCACCCTAACATTCAAGACAGTTAATGAATCATCAACTGGGATTAATTCATTAAAAAATCATTAAAAAACATTTATTGAGAACCTGCTTGCTATGTGTCAGTTTCTAGTATTGACCTTTAGCATGTCAGTGCACAAAACTATAAAACAATCTGTGTCCACAGAGTACACTTTACCATTTTACTGAATTCTTTTAAAGTTTACTGTATTGTGATCTATTACCCACTTGCACTTAACAATAATAATTCACCTAAAACATTCTACGTTCCAAATTCCAAACATACGCTATTGGATCCATCCCATGCAAGAAATTTATTGGCTTAGTTTAATTTTGTTTTTTCTAATATAATTCATCTGTTACATTATAAAACTAGACTTATCATTAAGGTTGCAAGCTGTGTAAAACTATAATGTTTGCAAACCTCAATTTGGTAACACTAAGTACCAAGTTGCTTTATTTTTAAACGCATTTGTAGAGAATGCTTGAATTTATCCTAACTTATAGGATCCTAACTTATTAAGGCTTATTAAGGCTTTTCTTTTCAAAAGCATACTACTAATTAACACATAAACAACTCTACTGTACACATCACCCCACCATTACCACCAGAGAAGCACAAACTACCCAGTTTAAACAGTGGCTTTTGGCCACTTGCTACTCTCTAACCACCACCAAGCAGCAGCAGCAGCAGCACCCCCTGGGAGCTTGTTAGACTAAAGCAGCTCTGCCCATCCCAGGCCAATTCAATCAGAATCCGCATGCAATGGGAATCGTATGCACACTACATTTGAGAAGCACTGTTTTAAAAATTAACCATGCCACCAGAATTTATTAAGCATATCTGAAATATGAAGAGTCTGAAACTGAATATTCATTTTAAAATATAGTTAAGCATAGATATTTCAAGAACACCTTGTTAATTTCCAAATATCCCTTACTTGTACAAATTTTCTTTTTAGAATTCATGAGAAACAAAAACATGAATTAAACCATAGCCCAAGAAGCTATGAAGTGAGAAATTCTGAAACAAAAACAAAAACAGACTACTTCCTTAAAATTACTATGATTTTTCTGAGTAGTCACAAAGTCATTTTTAAGGTAGAAAAGCAAACAGGCACTCTAGAAGGGAATATTCTTGGGACTGGATTAGCATCTAATATCTAGAATGCTAGACGAGAAGTCAGACAACTTGGAATAAAATCTATAGACTTCACTTTCCTAAACTGCAAGTGCAGGAATGATAGCAACTTTCTGCTTGACAAATTATAAAAACAATTAAATAGATTACCTACTTCTAGTAAGTTGAGCTCTTAAATAGGTGCTATGAAGCTAAGACAATATTCAAATACAGTATTTTCTCCAAACATTACTTCTGGAAAAGCTCAATTCAATAACAATAATGGATCTTTTAGTGTAAAAATCCCCTGAAGCTGTTCATCAAAAGTATTCTTTCGACAATACACCTAGAACAGTTCCTGACTTCTACAACAGGGAATACCTAAAAAGTT